AAGAAAGGTGCCTTCTTTTGTTAGTTTTGGATGAACCAGTGGAGGTATTGGTAGCCATGGTATGATAATTATATTCAGCACCTCTGCTCCCCACCCGCCATCGAGTGTCAACAAGGACGATGTTGCAGTGGAAGCCACCGCAAAATCAGGGTTACAGGGATGTTATACTCCAGAAATAGAGACATGGATAGCTGTTGTTAATAAAAGGAGAAATGTCAGGCTGGTTCGGCCCATGGCATTTTCCTATAAAAATACAGAATTCAGAGGTCTGTATCACCAGATTGGCCCTTCTTGCATAGGACGCTTGGCAAGTTTTAATTTACATAATCAAGGTCATCATATATCCTGATCAAAATGGTTTGAGATAACATTTTTTTACAAATCAAGCATTCCATGCACAGGGCATGGCGCGACCAGCCGATTGATAGAATCGGGCCAATTCTACCACCCGTCTAGGTGAAGTAAGGGTCGAAGTGGTGTGTTGGGCAAAAGGAACACCTGTTCCTGGCTCCAATGCCCTCAACCACCAGAATCCCGTCCTCCACCGACAAAGGGGCGCAACCCACGGCAAACAGGTTGCCCAATTTGGTCGCAACATATACATATACATAATACATATATTTAGACTAAATAAAAAGCTGTCAACGATGGACAGAACAATAACGAGAATATCACAGATGCGATTTAAAACTAGTTGAGAATATTTAAAAGCAGAAAGTATTAGTTAACAACACAATCTAAAAATGGGCTAGATATCGTCAGTCAATAAAGGGTGATCACCATACTAGGGACCATGGGGACTTACAGTACCTTTGCTTCCTGCATGGACCCCGGCAGGAATTATATCACCCTACAGTCACTGGCGATAGTTTACCAGTTAAGCCTATGGTTAAAATGACTAATATATTACGTTTAAAAGCCTGGCATGCATAAAAAATACTTACATACCCTCTTATGGGGACCATTATTTTACGCTAATTCAACCCCCCTCGAGAGTACCGCCACCAACAATCTAAGTTATCTATTAGGAGTACCAATTTTTAAAACAATACAGTAACTACATCAAAATTGATGAATAGGTTCTATTTCTTTTAAAAAACATAGTATTGAATGAGAGTTAACTTTACTAAAAAGGTAATTGACTGTTTTTACACTGAAATATTTATCCCTTGCGATGAAAAAATCAACACCGTCAAGCAAGACATGCTTGACCGTGGTTCTTCCACCACAAGGGATACAAAACAGAGGATCCTCATCATTTAATACATATTCGCGTGTATATCGAGAATGGCCAATACGACTTCGTCGTAAAATGACCTCTTCAAATCTGGACTGACAAACCAAGTAGGTGTTACCGATAGTTGGCTTAATTTGATGTAATTTATTGATACCTACTTGGGTGTCCCACCTTACAGGTGCAGGATCTAATCACGGGTTTATAGTCAGTGTATGGGATCAGAAGTGGTGTCACAGATTTGTTGAGTGCTGCTGTTGCAGCAGCATCGGCCATTGTGTTACCAATGATACCAACATGGCTGGGTAACCAACAAAAGACGAAGTCCTATTTGCCAGTAGCAAGATCGTTAAATAACTCAATCTCAATTTAAAATGGATGTTTACGAGACATATTTTTAATTGCCTGAAGGCATGAAAGTGCGTCTGAAAAAAATAATGAATTGTTTGTATTTGGATTGTTTCTTAATATTTTGTAGTGCTGTTAAAATTGCGTTTGCTTCTGCTGTGAATATTAAACTATTATCTGGTAGTCGTGATGATATTGCTGGATCCAATTGCTGGCACTAGCAGCTGCGACACCATCCATGGATCCATCTGTAAATATAGATTTATGAGTGTCATAAGTGTTTCGTAATTGATTGTATTCTTGTTTATAAACGCGTGGATTTGTATCTGATTTCTTAAGTCCAGGAGGCGAAGAAAACAGTTGTATAAGACCTATATATCTTGTACGTTAATCTTAGCAGCAGAAACGGCAGATTTAATTCATATTCCAAGTGGTGGAACAAGAGATGTTTTCTTATTGTAAATATCTTCGTAAAGAGGGTTTAAAAGCTGGATTTGACTGATTAGAATTATAATTTAGTTATGTATCATAAAGATATTTCAGACGGCGTTGTTAAAGAGAAGGCCCATCCGCTTCAACAGACAGACTTGGAATAGGAGAAGTGCGAAAGGCTCCAAGGCAAAGCCTCAGGCCTTGGTGATGGATAGTATCTAGTTTTTGTAAATTACTTTTACATGCTCCACCACAGACGATGGAGCCGTAATCAAGTTTGGAACGGATCAGTGATCTATTCAAGTGTAAGAGGGTTTTCTGATCCCCTCCCCACTAAGAATTAGAAACTACTTTCAATAAATCGAGTGCCTTCGGAATTTACCTTTAAGATATTTTATATGCGGTAAGAAAGTTAGATGGCTGTCAAAATAAGCCCCAAGAACTTGGCCTCCTTTACCACTTTGATAGGGGTGCCTACACAAATAATTCAGATCTTTATGCGGCTTATATTTTCTGCAGAAATGTATACAATTAGTTTTTGATTTAGAAAATTTAAACCCATTTTCAAGGGACCACTTGTGAATTTTATTGAGACAGATTTGTAACTGCCTTTCTATGGTATGCATATTCTTACCACGACAAGAAATATTAAAATCATCCACGAAAAGTGATCCTTCCCCTGAATCACTTAAAACCTTGGACAGACTATTTATTTCAATACTAAACAAGGTGACAGACAAAATACTGCCTTGTTTGACGCTCTGATCCTGATGATAATGGTCAGACAGGTTTGAACCCACTCAGACTTGAAATTGTCTGTCTGTTAAAACTTGTGATGTAAAATGAGGTAAACGCCCTCTCAAACCGCGTCATGCTTCCAGATAGTATCGTATGCTTTCTCAAGATCGAAGAAAATTGATACTTCTTGTTGTTTATTTACAACAGAATTTTTAACAAAGGATTCTATACGTCCGGATTTTGAATAAACGCCGAAGTCGGCAGTTATGTCAGCTTAGGTTGACAGTAGCACTGCGGTGCATCAAAAAATTCACAGTATTTATGGCAATAGGGGCCAACAAATTTTGTAAGTATATACACAATATGTGTCATTAAATTGTCTTTCTGTTGTGTGGGATAGGTTTTTAAGGTTAGGACTTCTTCATGCCAAATTTATTGTTTATTTGATATGACTGTATTGCACGTGCGTTGGTGTCACCTATTTTCGTGACATACTAGTAAATACCTTATACACAATTGTACTTTAGTACTTTGCTTACGTGAATATTTAATGAAATATCAGTTAATGTGCCATTGAATAGGCAGTTTGAGATATTGTGAAAAGTATCTTAAGGTTGCGAATATGATGATGTGTTCAAGTGTATCAACCAGGACAAGAGAATAAATCAGTACAAGATAAACCCCCTTTTGTCAACTTTACAACAATACACTGAATTAAAACTCTAACCATGAGAATAGAAAGGCGAATCTTTTCTGAAAATATTGTAGTTAGGCATGCGAAAAAATGCAGTATATGGGATAGCCGCAAGAGCATGCATGATGCGTTATCTAAGATGTGTCTTTTAAGCCGATGGAAGTTGAAATCACTAAAACCGAGTCCGGGGCAATAAAGGATTATGTAACAAAATCTGATATCATGGTTTAATTGTATCACTGTGTAGATTCTATTATTTTTTAAGGATGTAAATCACGTCACTCTTTATGTAAAATACGTCAGTCACTCAAACCACTATTATTTCCCCATAGATCAACGCTTAAAAACAGTTATCAAGATATATTATACGTATTTGTAGAAATACATAATCTTTACATTGAAACTGCCATCTTGCTGTACTATTCTGTATTGTATGCCATGATGCTCCTGTACCGCCGCTGGTGGTTTAATTAATGAGAAATTGTACAGCGCCAAGCGTTCAGTGCGCCAACGAAGTTTTTCAAAGTAGAAATTAAGAAATCCGAATATGTATCAAATTTCTTATTGCTAGAACATATGCATGAACAACAAGTACTATAATCGGAAATATATTACACGTTATATGCGCAACCGGATGCTCAAAATCACAATACAATGCTAATATCCAATATTTGTGTTCCAGCGAGACACAGACTTTCTCAAAGGCAAGAGGATTAAATTGAGGATTAAATGTCCGGAAACTTAAGATCAGACAATAATAGTATTGTGTTATAAATAATATTAAAGGCATGTTTGATGCTGAAAGCTCGGATCGAAAACAGGATAATCTGCGACGGTTTTCCGGAAACACCATATTTTTCGGAGTGTTTTCTTTTAAATATCTGATGATGATTTTTCCGAGGACTACTGTTTTAAAAAACAATGAATACCGTTCAATTAAACCATACAAACCAATTTCAACACTTTTAAGTAATAATAAAATAGCTTTCATACTATGTGCAATCCACTCTTTTGACTAATCTTCTATGCGCACAAGAGCATGCTACAAATCCCATCGCCACTGTATCAGTTTTATTTGTAACTTGCTAATAATATTGATCGGCATTTTGCACATACAACACATTTATAGAACAAAACATAGCAATCATCCCCCTTTACCAACGGTTACAAGGAAACACAGTGCTCAACTTAAAACACTTCATTTTGCACATACAATTATTATACACGAATACATAACAATTATCTCCCTTTACAAATATATACAAAGAAAAACAATTTTTGATACATCATATATATAAAATTGTATATTATTTTATATGTCATATATACAAACTTGTATAATTTGTATATCTCATCATTCCAAACTTGTATATGCTCTGGATCTTTCAAAAGCATATACAAGCTTGTATATATGGATTTGTTTTGCAGTGCGTTGCTTTCAAATGTTAGTTAATGATGTCTGAATGATTATTTCGTTTACAATTACCAATAGATGACATTTCAATCCAGCTGATCATAAATCAAAGAAAGATAGGTGTTCAAGGATAACACAAATTTCAAAAACATGCAAAGATTTATTAATTCACCTCATACATGTCATATGCGCAAGAGTTGGAGTCCTGCCTTATGGACAATGTGCATGAACCATCTTAATATCCACTATAGCCCTTTCCGCCATAGAAGGGGTAGCCGCCGCGATTATAGATATCTTGGTCAACGTTTTGCCTGTTGAACTGTTGTTGATTGATGGTGGCATACTGTCTGAAGTTTTGGTTGTTATCTACGTTATTTCCCCCGTATCCTCCATATCCCCTTCCGTATTGGTATGAGGGTTGGTAGAATGTGGCTGAGACCATCGCCACAAGCAGAACCAAACAGAGTGCAACAGCTACGGTCTTCATTGTTGATGATTCTGTCAAGAGAATTGAAAGGTTAACTGGCTGGTCAATCATGATGCAGCGTAAAACTAAATTAAACTAAGTTGGTGTCAAATGTGATTATAATTTGTTTATGTTTGTGTAAATTGGTTTAATATTTTATTCGGTAGCTGAAGCATATGGTTGATTCAGTTGAAGATCATCCAATAATAAGGTCTTCTTCATCAACTCATTCCTTAACCATTCATCACAAGATCAATTTGGTTTGGCAATATTATGTAGTGTTGGTTACTTTCGCTGAAGGATCAAGGTTATGTAACAGGTGGCCATTCAATGTTTTTGCAAATTTACCAATCAAATTTAATTTCTTTATACTGTGTCTGAGTGATTTGCGTAATATGATAATTAAAAAACAAAATTATGATAAAGAAAATTTGGATTTGTGTTCATAGCCACACATCAAACTAACCAGAAGCAATTACCAAGGAAGGACGCTTTTCATGAAACGGCAATGCAGCTTGAGAATAATTTTTGTGACTAGTCAGCTGTGGCCACAAAGCAATCAGACTTCCCATGCTGCATTGGGGGTAATACATTGAACCAACATTGTGGTAACGTCTGCCAAACATTTGTGCTGGGGATTGGTAAACGTTGTGTCAACGTCTGAGTGCCAGTTGCGTCGTGGCTTTTACCAATTGAATATGTCCAACGTCTAATGTGTGAATCACTTCACCAACCCTCCCCACTACACACAATGGTGACATCCGCGATATAAACTGAAATGTCATTCTAGGCAGCGTTAAACGGTAAGTGAGGATTAACGCCCCGTTGAACAGTATTCCAGTTATATCACGGCGTGTCATCATGTAGGACGAAAGCTCTGATGGATGTAGTTCCTAGTCGTTTAAACCCACTATCACAGGTATGGTAGCTGACAGACCTAGAAACATAACAGGGGCGAACCGGGATTCGTACCCACAATCATGGTTTTCTGGCTTGCCGAAGGGACGCAACTTTGCACAGCAAATCCACTCTCTTATTCATTTAAAAAAAGATATCATTTGAGGCAGCGTTGAAAAAAACATCATTCTCTCTCACTCAAATACACCAAGGTATACTCACCAAACTGCGACGATGTTCAGAGTGACGTTTCCTTCAGTATCTAAGCCTTATATACAGATCACATTAGTTGTTTGGTCCTCCTTTTCCGCACTCAATCATTAGGCAGGACAAGCCCAAAGCTAAAATTGTTGTGTGTTTTGCACTATTCTCTACGGTTTACATTTTTCAATATATGAAATGGTTGATGTAATTAGTTTAGTCATACCTTTTAAAAGACAAAAGGAAATATTTTTCTCATAGACTCACGCTCATCTCTTTGGAAAAACCCAAAAGAAATTATTTAGCGTATGGAAATAAAATGTCAAGGTAAGAGTTCACAGTTCACATCAAACATTGTCTTGACTAACTTTATGCAAATGTCTGTATTTTGAGACGATGCATTTTCAAAGTGTCAGCTTCAGCTTCATCTTTGAATAGACACAAGTAGAATTTGTATTTTTAACAGTCGATATTGAGAAACATAATACTCCTTCAAACAGTTATGTGCCTTTATACATTTTCAAACAATATTTATACACATTTGTTTTACAGTTAATACCTGTTTTGTCATTACTTCAATCACAATGTCACTGTAATAATTTACTGCTGGAGTTGGAAGAAGTATAATATAATATTGGATCCACTTTCAAAGTAAATCTATTGTGTTGCAGTGTGGAATGTGGAAGAAAATCCGCCAAAATCTGTGCCATCCGAGACGCAAGGTACACAATCAGTGCACTAATAACATAATTATAAGCTGTATTATTGCTTTATTGAGAATTTAGAACGGACCTAATAGTCATTTTTTGTGAAAAACGTTGATAATGATGATGGACGATAATCTCACGGATTCATCAAGGTATGCGGAAGCAGTCATGTCGCACCCCATAGTAAAATCTTCCGACAATTATGATGGCTACAAACCCTCAGCATCAAAGAAACCTAGAACATCCACACCTGATGTTGGTGAGTGTGAAATTGACTATTCTCAAAATCTGCAACAGAACGTGCACGCGATCTCGAACTTTGACATCCTCAACGCAATCAACGACCTCAAGGCGTCTTTTTCATGTCAGCTGGTCGATAGAGAAAAAAGAGTGACTGATAAGTTGAGTGATTTATTGAGAGAAGAAACGACGAAACTCCGCCACGATTTCGAGTCGAAGTTGGCAGATTTGAGCGAGAAAATAGTAAGTGTTGAACAGACAAATTTCAGAGAAATAGACTCAATTAAAAGCGATTTGAACGACATGACGTCAAAAACTGGTGATATGGAGAGACAGTTCGCTGATGTTGTTGCGGGCAAGAAGGACAATGATAATGCATGTAGTGTTGTTATGAGAAATCTTCCCTGCTCTAAGGATGAAACAAATGACCCACTAGAGACATGTCGTGTGGCACAAACAAAGTCATTCACGACGGGCTGAAACCACATGATGTCCGTGCAGTACGTGCAGTACGTAAGGAAAGGAGCGACGCCAAACCGGGTGTTGTTTTCGTTGGAAACCGCTGAACAGAGGAGCAAGCTGTTAAAGCAGAAGAGACAGTTGAAGGATAGTAGAACTTTTTCAAAGGTTTATATTGATGCCGCCTTGTCACACGAAAAACTCGTTGTCCGGGCCAACATACAGACTCTGATTAAAGATATCGACAAAGACAACACACTTCGATTCCAAGGGAACAGATTAATCGCCGGACGAAAAGCCTAGGATCATGTGCGGCTAGGATTCTGGAACGCGGGTGGATGGACGCAGAAGGATTCCAGTAACCGTCAATTCAGGGATTGTGTAGTCAAAGATTTCGACTGTGATGTATTCGCGGTATGCGAAACCTTTCTTCAAAAGGACGAAATTTTATTTTTAGATGGGTTTACTTGGCACGGTAACAACAGGAAAAATATTCATAGGAGAGAGAAACGGGGCTCCGGCGGAGTCGGCGCATTCTTTAAGAACTCCTTTCTTCAAACTTTTGACGTGAGTGATTTAGATAATGAACATGAAGACATAATATGGTTTAAACTTAATTCCCATGCGGATTCAGATTTTAGTCTAATTTGATGTGTTTGTTATTTTGCCCCCGGAAAGCTCATCTTGAGCTAATGATGCTGAACACTTCTTTGAAACCCTGCTTGAGCAGTTGTACCTTTATCAGACAGACAGACAGAACATTTTATTACTCAACCAACCAACGGTGGTACATGAGAATTTGAAATATTTACATCATTTAACAACTATATACATGGCAAGTGACAGGATAATATGAATTTTACCTTAACAAATTATATAATATCATCAGATATGACTTAAGATTCTTTAAATCCTTCGTGGTTTTATTACATAAGAGCTTTCTAATCATTGGATAATTTTGGAAATCACATATTTGTATCGAGAGGTAGGTATTTCGGTTTTGGAGAAGGGCTTCACACCAGAAGAGATAGTGAAACTCATCTCCAACAGCATTAGCATTACATAGTTTACATAATCTTTCTTCTTTTGGTATAGAATGCCATCGGCCGGTTTCAACAGGTAGATTATGGTTACTGGTTCTTAGTTTTATTATAGGAAAATATACGTCTTTTGGTAAATATAGGTCATTTTCAAAACATAGATTATATTTAAGACATTTATAGAATTGACCTTTTAAACTGCTTTCTATTGAGCTACGCCAATGTTGTAAAAGCTGATGTTTTAGAATAGTCTCAACCTTTAAAACCAGCCATGACGTAGAGAAATAATGTGGGTTTGAGAAAACATTTGATAAACCACAATCGTTAAGTATTTTTTTAACTAAACATATTCATCGAGGATGACAGCTTACATCGTTAACAGAAATAATACTATATAGCAATGAGGAATATTGACAGTGTTGATTATTTGTTGCTAATTTATGCCAAAATGAAATAACCCGTTTGTATACTTTGATATGATATCAAAATGAAGTACTGGTATGTTGATGCGGTGATTTCAATTCGAGAGTGGGCGACAAGTGTGACTTCATAGAAGGTGTTGATAATGTAGCTGATAGGGAGGTTATAGATCTTAAATACAACAGATATGGCGATTTATTCATTAACTTTTTAACCGAGTGTAATCTCTGTATGTTGAATGGACGCATAGGTAAACATGATTATACACACATAAATAACGGATCTTCCGTTGTTGATTATGTTGTCTCAACTCATGAACATCTTAGCTTTTTCAGAGATTTCGCCGTTACGCGGTCATCGTCGTTAGTTACAGAGGTAACGTGCAGGATACTTTACCTGACCACACAATACTTACCTGGAACGTGACCGTACCTACCTCTGTGTCTGCAGATGTACACGTACGCTTCGCTCAGCAGCCAACTCCGTCCATGTCTCACAAACAATACGATGCTGGTAAGATAACCAACTCGTTTTTATCCCAAGACGATATCATTGGTAAAGTAACAGCCGTCATTCATAAAATTGAGAGAATTGTCGGTTTCAAATAACGTTGACGCTGCGAATGACGAGTTTGTTAGTTTTATGCATCATGAGTTAGATAGCGTTTGTTTAATACGACAGTCAGTAAGGAGAAACCCGATGCTAAATCTAAATACAAACCTTACTGGTGTGATGAGCTTCAGGGTGAAATAGGACGATCTGTGCACGGCAGAGCGTATTTGGCTGCGGGATAAGTCCACGGTTAACGGTAGGAAACTAAAAGAGTTAAGGCGAGGATTCTCGATCATTTGGGAAGGCTATAGGTAAGATAGGCATGAGTAACGATAGGCATTCCAGCGTCCCCTGGGAGGTGTTAAAAGATGACAAGTTGTGTACTGACAAAAATGTTGTTCTTGACAAATGGCAATCCGATTATAGTTCTCTTTGTGTAGAGGAGGACTTGCCACAATTTGACCAGCCCCACTTTGAAAATGTCATCGACGATGGAAACAACCGTAACGCGAGAGACAATCCCGTGTATGACAAGAGATTGAAGCCGCAGTCGCACGTGCTAAAAGTCTGTTAAAACTTGTGATATAAAATGAGGTAAACGACCTCTCAAACCGCGTCATGCTTCCAAGTAGTATCGTATGCTTTCTCAAGATCGAAGAAAATTGATACTACGTGTTGTTTATTTACAATAGAATTTTTAACAAAGGATTCTATACGTCCGGATTTTGAAAAAAAGCAGGATTAAAGGCCGGACAAGCCGAAGTCGGCAGTTATGTCAAATGAGGTTGACAGTAGCACTGCGGTGCATCACAAAATTCACAGTATTTATGGCAATAGGGGCCAACAAATTTTGTGAGTATATACACAATGTGTGTCATTAAATTGTCTTTCTGTTGTGAGGGATAGGTTTTTAAGGTTAGGACTTCTTCATGCCAAATTTATTGTTTATTTGATATGACTGTAGTGCATGTGCGTTGGTGTCACCTATTTTCGTGACATACTAGTAAATACCTTATACACAATTGTACTTTAGTACTTTGCTTACGTGAATATTTAATCAAATATCAGTAAATGTGCCATTGAATAGGCAGTTTGGGATATTGGGAAAAATATCTTAAGGTTGCTCTATTTTATATTCAGCTTGAACCGTTTCAACGTTTCAAAGTACAACGAATATGATGATGTGTTCAAGTATATCAATATAAAAAAAAAATGCAGTATAAGGGATAGCCACAAGAGCATACATGATGCGTTATCTAAGATGTGTCTTTTAAGCTGATGGAAGTTTAAATAATTACAACCGAGTCCGGGGCGATAAAGGATTATGTGACAAAATCTGGTATCATGGTTTAATTGTGTCACTGTGTAGATTCTATTATTTTTTAAGGATGTAAATCACGTCACTTTTAATGTAAAATACGTCAGTCACTCAAACCACTATTATTTCCCCATAGATCAACGCTTAAAAACAGTTATCAAGATATATTATACGTATTTGTAGAAATACATAATCTTTACATTGAAACTGCCATCTTGATGTACTATTCTGTATTGTATGCCATGATGCTCCTGTACCGCCGCTGGTGGTTTAATTAATGAAAAATTGTACAGCGCCAAGCGTTCAGTGCGCCAACGAAGTT